CATGAATCCTCTTTATTAACATAATTTGACATCAATTTCCAAAAAAAACTAGACCAATTCAAGGTATAATCTCCTTACTGTTAGGTATAGAAATAGAGAAAAAGTATGAAATAGCTTATTTTATGTGATTCATATATAGCAATTTTGGGGTCCCATTTAAGCAGCATTAACGAAAAGGCATTATTTCTTTGAGGTAAGATAGCATTAGGTACAAAATAAATGCCTATTAGCTTGAAAGGTGAGTTATGACAGCCCCACATTTAGTTACAGTAACACTTAATGATGACTTACCAACTGGACTAGTAGAAACTCTCTGTGAAGGTGGTCTGAAGCCAGGTGCCTTGGAGTTGTCAGGGTGCACATTTTCCAAGTGTCCAAGTACAGAATTACTCAGGAAAGCTGACTGAACGGTGAAAGAGGCATCTGCAGCAACTCTCGAAGGTAGTGGACCATCTCCCCACCCTTGGTTAGCTGGCACCTGACTGCTCTCAAAAAGACTACTGAAGTGATTAAAAAGTGTGGCTGGGCCAAATGTAGGCTGCAAAGACTTGTTTGCTGGGTTTATGTGCATCTGAGAACCACTCATAATGTTCACAGCTGATGAAAGCTGCACTGCAGCTGGTGGGCCTTGAGGTGGTGTTAAAGAAACTGGATTGGTAACAAAAATTGACTGGGGATCCTGGTGTATAGTTGCATTTGGTACCACTGAGTAAAAAGAACCTCTGGGCTGCATTCGATGAGAAACTCGAGGTGCTGGTACAGCTAACTGAGGTAAATTGCCAGTGTCCTGATTATCAGCAGCAACCAATCTGGGTGATGCCAAAGTCAATGGAGCAGGTTCTGCAGTAGAGGCAAAAGGCATTGACACAGGATTTAAATCAGACACATTGGATGGCTGTCCCTCTTCTTGTGTATTACTGGAGGGGGGAGTAGAACTACTGGATGGGCGAGTTTCTGAAGCTCCTGAGGTGTTGCTGGCAGAGCTATTACAACTGTTTGCAGTTGGAGATGGTGTACATAGATTTGTCAAGGGCTGGTCTTGTGTGGACACTTTCTCTTTGGGAGGAGGTATGACAGAAAAAGAGTCTACTTTTTGTGAAGAAAGTTGTACTTGAGGAGTAGTTGTAGGCATAAATGTGGTGGTAACTTGTCCACTAGTGGTAGATATGGAGGAGACAGAAGGCAAGGAACTACTAGTGCTTGTCACAGAGGAAATCACTGTTGCTGGAGGACTGGTCTTAGGTGCACAAGCAAACAACTGCTTTCTGACTGAGGAAGGAGTCCGGGTATTAGTCATACATAGCTGCTGACTGGCAGCAGCTACAGAAGAGACAGTGATAGGACAACCGGCAGTAGCTAGTCCAGGAGATTCAGATGGTAAAACAGGTCCATTCTGGTTAGGTAGACGGGCTGTATTACTACTATGCTTTGGAGAACTATTTGCATTGCCAGGATTCACAGGTCTCACTGGGAATGGTCCCCAGGTGTTAGGTGAAGGTGAGAAGGTTCCTCCAAACTGGGCCATGGGTAGGCGAGGATGCCGAATCTGTTGCATAGTTTGAGCAGCCAGCAGAGCCAAATGAGGATGAGGATAAGCTAAGGGAAGCGACACTGGGAAAGGAGATCGTACATTTGTTGGCACATTCTTACTAAGTTTATTAGTGGGTGGGAACGTAGATAATGTTGTTGCCTGTGATGTTACAAGAGCTGGAGCACCCAAGGGAAATGCATTCTTGCTGGAAGTTGTTGTGGTGCCTACTCCAGATGAGAAGTTTGTATGAATGGACTTGGTGCTGGCAGGTGTCCTGATATGGTTTTTAGGAATCAAATCTTCTAGTTCCTTTGCAGGATCTTGAATAAGTGCGTTGATAAGTTGAACTGCGTGCCTTGTTGATTCTGTACCACCCCTGGAGAATAAATGAAATAAGACTAGCAATATAAACCACAAAAATACACCTTAGGTAATAGTTTTTATGATTGGAAAAATTTTTTCAAATATTTTAATTTTGTTTTTTTCCCTAGATAACCTTATAAATCACATTTTTTTTCTGATTGAACCCAGGGCTTAATATATAGTAGGCAAGTAATTTACCATTGAGCTATATTCCCAACTTTCAAATGAAATTCCTACCTAATAAAAGCATGCTTCTTAGAAAATTTTGATGGAGAACTTGTAATATGTAAGCTATTTTTGCAGTTACCTTATTGTAATCATTCTCTCTCCATTCTTATCTTTTTGTTTATCTACATCAATATGGGCACCAGTAACATCTTGTATTGCTGTAATGTTGCATCCTCCTCTTCCCATTATTCTGGATACCACTGAGGCTGGAACAGACAATTTCTTTGACCTATAAAATGAAGGCTATCTATGAGCTTATGAAATCAAATGTCTTTAAATAATAAATATTGGAATAAAAAGATAAAATGTATATTAATAGAATTTTTAGAATATTCTTGAACTTTAAATAATTAAATTCTTATTTTAGAAATTATGATATTGAATTTAGCTAAGGAAAATTATATTAAAAATTAGATTGAGTTTGAAGTCAGTCTGATCTACATTGTGAGTTCCAGTGCTGCCAGAGCCAGATACCTTGTCTCAAAAACAAAAAAACAAAAAAACAAAAAAAACAACTATTTAGTTACTTACAATGTAAGCATTCACAAGTCAACTAATCTGCAACTAACATCTTTCTCTTTCTCTCTCTCTCTCGCTTTTGGAGACAGGGTTTCTCTGTATAGTCTTGACTATTGTCCTGGATTCGCTTTGTAGACCAGGCTGGCCTCCAACTCACAGAGATCCGATTGCCTCTGCCTCCCTGAGTGCTGAGATTACAGGTGTATGCCACCGCACCCAGCTTCTCTCTCTAAACTAGAAACAAAAAGCATACCATTGGGAATGCTGGTAGCAGCACACACCTGTGGTCTCAACACTTATGAGGCTGAGGCAATTTGGATTTCTATGAATGTAAGGGCAACCTGGTATACGTAAATAGTGCTAGGCCAGCTGGGGCTACACAGTGAAACCCTGTCTCAAAAACAAAGCAAAATCTACACTGAGTAATATATATTAGCTTGTAATGTTAAGCCATAAACAGTTCATATTTAGCAATTTTCAAAAGTCTCAAATTTGGCCTATATAAAATATAATTTATTAAATTGTTATATCACATAAAATATGCACGTAAATTTTATATAGTTTCTAATTTTGTTCTAGCATATTCTGGATTTACTATGATGTTATAGTTTATAATAATAGTTACATTCAAATTATTAAATTATTAATCATATCATAAAAGATGGTGATAAGGCTGGAGAATAGCTAGAAGTTTAAGAGCACTGGCTGTTCTTACAAAGGTCCTGAATTCAATTTCCACCACATGGTGGCTCAGAACCATCTATAATGAGATCTGGTGCTCTCTTCTGACCTACTGGCACACATGCAGGCAGAATACTGTATAAATAATAAATGAATAAAATCTAAAAAAAAAAAAAAATCAATAGATACAGTAGTATACACCTGCAATACTCTTCTTGGACAGTGGAGGTAAGTGGATCAGAGATTTAAGGTTAGCTTTTGCTGTATGTCAAATTAAAGGTTAGTCTAGGCTGCATCAACTCATAAATAAACAAAACAAAGTAAAACAAAAAGCTGTTGTGGTGGCATACTCCCCGAGATGGAATTAATCTACTTACCTTCTAACAACTTCTTTCCACCCTTCTTCTCTCTTTTGACACCTTTTAGGACTAGTGAGATTCAGCTTCATGGTTGGAGAACTTAATGGCAATGACTTGTAGCTTGTTGATGTGGAATTTGCATTTGTTTCACCTTCAAGGCTGAGAAAAGCGAATTATGGAATTCAACAAAAAATATACTTCAAGGCAGAAATTCAAGAGACTATATAGACAAACTGATATTTGAAATACTTTTTAAAGTTTGGTACATTCAATAATCAAGACAGGAAAACAAAATAAACAAAGAGCCTATCAAAAGGGGTTATTCAATAAAATTAACAGTTAAATAAAATCAAAACATGGTAATATTTTTAAACTTCAGACTAACAATCTTGTTCAAATATCTAATACTCTTTACAATGAGCACAAGATTAAGAGGACAGAGTCAAATTTTAGTTCTGAAGTTTGGAGACAAAATATGCCAGCAGTGGTGGCACATGTCTGTAATCCCAGCACTCTGGGAGGCAGAGGCAGGCGGATCACTGTGAGTTCAAGGCTAGGTTGGTATACAAAGTGAGCCCAGGATGGCCAAGGATAACAGGGAAACTCTGTCTTGAAAAAACAAAACAACAACAAAAGGATAATATTATAGACACTATTTAATACAACCTGTACTTAAACAACATACCATAAAATTTTATACCAGACATGAAATAGAAAGAGTGAGCACAGAGTTAACAAAACAGAAAAATTTACCGTGTCTGAGTCTTGGAAGTGGCAGTAACTGTCTTTTCTTCTTGAGAATTGAGAACTGTGGGGCACCTCCTGTCATTGGTGGAATTCACATCCAAGGTGAAATTTAATTCTTGGCTCTTACCACCACTACTACTCTCACTGTTGCAGTCTGTGCTATCTAAGTTATCCGAATCACTGTTCCCACCTGTACCACCACCTCTGGGTTCTCCATTTATTTTATTTTTATCTGCTTTTTGTTGTGCTAAAGATATATTTGGTTCAGATAAAATTAAATGTGCTGTGGGAGGGGGCTCTTTTGTCTTATTCTTCTTATTTTTCCGATTAGTGCTGGGGGTTGTCACTACATTGGCTCTTTTTTTCCCAAATACATTTGTGAAGGTGGCAGACGTAGCAGAGATTCCAATTGTGGTAGTAGTAGTTGCACTCGGAGGCTCTATGGGAATTTCTTGTTCCACTGAAATAAAAAAAAAAAAAAAATTAACAATGAGGACCAAAGATCTCAAAACAAATCATGACAGAATACATGTAAGAATTCATAATGAATCAATCTCTAAGGTCATATTTTCCTTTTCACTAATAAAGAAATCCTTACTGTTGTTAGAATATTCTGATATATAAGTTGGCATAAAATATATATCATTAGTGTTCTTTTTTGGAAAAAGAAAAAAGAAAAAAGGATTTGTTTATTCTTATTTTTTGGGCATTGGTGTTTTATCTGCAAGTATGTCTGTGTGAAGGTGTCAGATCCCCTGGAAATGGAGTTGGAGACAGTTGTGAGCTGCCATGCAGGTGTCAGGAATTGGACATGAGTCTTCTGGAAAAGAAGCCAGAGCTCTAACCACTACGCAATCTCTCCAGCCGTGTGTGTGTGTGTGTGTGTGTGTGTG